TATTTACATCAGTGTGACCTTCCATTTTTCTTCTTTTCAGGGTCAATTTCCACTTAAGCTTTACAAACAAGGTATGGAAGTAACAGGCACTGTGATTGGATACAGAGATATCAAATTTAATAAATTTCTTCCTATTAGTCACCATAATCTAAAAGAATTTGGCTTGGAAATATCACTGAAAAAAAGGTAACAATTGTCTATTATTAGGTTGTACCAGTAGTTGTAGTCCAAAAGTAATTTATGTTTGCATGGGGTCAGTTTTGTTCATTGTCTTTGTTTTTACGTGGTAAAAAATGTAATAATATATGCATGTTAATTATTGTTTTGATTTTTTGACTTTTCAACATGTCATCAACTGTTCAGGTGTGCCTTAGTGGATTTCATTCAAACTTTATGATGATTGTAACTGATGCTAATTTTAAAACTAGCAAGCTGATGGCATGTTTGGTTATATTTTCAAGTCTCTTTGACATTCCTTGACTGAATTCATTTTAAATTTAGTACAAAGACACTGCATGACAATTGGTGTTTTTGTTCAGCTGACATTTTTTTGACATCTTTTTTTTGTCATATGTCGTTATAAGTTGACACTTAACATGGTTATTAAGATGAAATAAACATCAAAAAAGTTATTTGATAATTTTATTATATCCAATAATTTTTTATTTTTTTTTAGCTATTTACAAGAGAATACTGGTACAGAGTCTGCCAACCAAGAGTTTGAATATACTAAAAACTTTGACAGTCTTCTTGATAGATTTAAAGAAGGGCAAAGCATTTATTGTTATGTGGAAAAGGTACACACGTTCATATTCACACTCTCCATTGCTCTACAGTAAAGTTATCATCTTGTATTCAATAACTGTATTGCCTAAGTTTTTATCAGTATGCTTGTTGAAGTCTTGATATTGATGTGTTTAATACTTTTCATACTGTGTATCACCACTGATATCTATATTTTGTTTACTGTAACCTGGCATTCCTTATTCAACTTAAAACCGATAGAAAACATGGTAGTTTGCAGAGATAGAAAGGTCAAATAAAGTATTAATTAGACTCATTTCTACCACTTTCCAAATTCATTACTGAATTATGTTTATTTGAATGATTGTTTGTGTTAATCAGCAAAATTGCATTTCTTGTTTTTAAATTAAGCATATAGAGTATCGCCCTCATCAACTACGAACTGATGAAATGCACTTCATCCAAGTATGCAACTGTCAATGTTATTCACAGTACAACTTCAGTCCACGTACCTAGTTATGAAAAAAAGAATGAAATTTGAAATCATCATAGCACATTATGACCGGTAAAACCATTACTTATTACATGTAATAATATCATATTTTACACATTAGGATTTTCTGTTTTTAATTTCAGTATGAAAACAAATTTCTTAGAGTGGATATAACACCCAGAATGCGTGGAGTGGTTTATTTTCTTCATCTTTCCAAGAATTGTCATGACTTGTATTCCCCTGAGAAACACTTTAAACCTGGACAGGCACATAAAGCATTGGTTATGAAGATTGATAAACAGCACAAGAAATTAGACCTGAGTCTAGATGGTAAGAGTGTTCAATAGCAATGATACCACAAACATTACCACAAACTATTGATATGGATGAGTATTAAAGACTTTGTTTCAGAATGTTGATAAATATAGTTTGTGTCACATGTCATGAACTGTTGGTTGAATATCAGTTAAATAGTATAAACTATTTAATAAATTTGATTTGTAATGTAGATTACAGCTTAGTTAAAAAAAATAAAACTGCACTGTTGGTCATTTGGATATTGTCACTTGTAGTAAGTAAATAAAGCCTTTGATATGTCCATTATTAAAACAAGTGTATTGTTTGCTTTGTTAATAGGGACTGTATCTAATGATTTGAAAGAGGGCGCTGTTCAGAATGGGTGGATTACTCATAAATATCCAACTGAACTTGGTGTCCAATTAGCTGGTGGTAACCATGGAAATGTGTTTATCACTGACATCAATGACAAATATTCTGATGATCCAATAAAAATGTTCAGAATAAATCAGTTTGTAAGGTAAGACACTTTGTATTGTTTTGCATTCTGAGCTTTTTTAGCATGGATGCCAATATTTGAATAAGAAGTCTTTGTTTTAATGGTGGTGGCATTGTACATTATTTATAAAATTAATATATTTGCTATAATAATTTGAAGTAAATGGAGAAGAATTTTTGACTCCCGTGTGCGAAGCACAAAAGGGAGTCTTTGCAGTTACCCTGTCTGTCTGTATGTCTGTCTGTATGTCTGTCTGTATGTATGTATGTATGTATGTATGTCACTTTTTTTGTTCCACCGTTATCTCAAGAACCACTAATCAAATTTTGGTGAAACTTGGTAAATCGATACTCTGGGATAATGCGCAGAGTTGATTAGGTTTTGGTAAAAATTTATGAATATTAATTACCTAATGATAATTAGCTGATTTTTAGCTGTTTCAAGACTGTTCCACTGATATCTGAAGAACCATTAATTGGATTTTGATGAAATTTGGCACATGGATGCTCTGAACTAGTGCGCAGATTTGATTAGTTTTGGGTAAAAATCTATGAATATTAATTACCTAATTTGCATGATAATTAACTGATTTTAAGCTGTTCTATGACTGTTCCACTGATTTTTGAAGAACCACTCATTGGATTTCAATGAAACTTGGCACATGGATGCTCTGAACTAATGCGCAGGTTTGATTAGTTTTGGGTAAAACTCTGTTAATATTATTAATTACCTAATTTACATAATGATTAATCAATTTTCGGCTTTTCCACTGATATCTCTATGATACTAATCATAACATTTCAATAAAACTTGGTACATAGGTGTTATATGACACTGCACAGACCTGATAGTTTTTAGGGTATTATCAGTACATATTAATTACCTAATTTGCATAATTAATTAATTTTCAGCTTTTGATATTTCGAGTAGTAATGATCACGTTTCAATGAAACTTGGTACATAGTTACTTGAGGACTGTGCAGAGACCTAATTAGTTTTTGGGAAAAATATTTGTGCATATTAATCACCTTATTAGCATAATTAATTAATTTTCAGCTTTTCACCTAATATCTCAAGTACTAATCATCACATTTCAATGAGACTTGCGACATTTTTTCTAGGACTATGCAGAGACCTGATTAATTTTGGGATAAATAATTGTGCCTATTAAATACCTAATTTGCATAATTAGTTAATTTTTTGCTGTTCTATGGCTGTTGCACTGATGTCTAAAAACCACTCATT